CTAGGTGAAAACGATGAGCCGGTAACTTCTGAAGAACGTGCAGGACGAAATTTGGCGCTTTTCTCAAATCGATCTATAATCCACTCAAGGGTTGACTGCTGCACAGTTGGCTGCATAGCCTCAGCCTGCTTTTTGTTGATGCGAGAAAGCCAAGAGAGATCCTTAAAAATGAGCAAGAAAGGATTGAGTTAATTAGTAGATAATAAGAGGTAGCCAAAACATTATGCCGCACGCAGAGATAAGCCTAGGCCAGATAATATATAAAATATTAACTATATATGATGACCATATAAAAGGATAAACAGAAAACCATACAATTTCTAAAAACAACATTATATCAAACAAGTTAGATTAAAGGGAGCAAACCTCTTCATCTAAGTCATATTCTACAATTTCCTCGAGTTCCTCTGTCGTCTTCTCAATAAACCTCAAATATACAGAATTTTCTTTCTGGATAATCTTCTGATATGATGGGAAACTTTTATCTATTTCATATTCAGGCTTTGGGACGTCTATAGTGGCAGAAATATGGTCGGGTTTTTTTGATGCAGTCACAGGGATACTTGCAGCATTGGTAGAACGATTAGGATGCATTCCTCTTGCTTTATTTTTGCAAGAGCTTCGATTCTTCCCATTGTAGGTCGTGTCCCCATCATTCTTAGCAGTATTTGTAGTAAGTTGTATAGGATGTTCTGGATCAACGGAGTCTTCTTTTTCTAAGGATATAACAAGTGGGGCAAAAATACTGCAGCGAAATGTTTGTCCACAGGTAGCCGGAGAGGCCTCGAAGACTACAAATTTCTTTGAATCTGCATAGCTCATTGTTGGAGCAGTGTGGTCCCCAGGTCGCGGATAAGCATTACTTAGGAGACTGCCAGGAAGGTTATGAGAACCGCCGACCATGCGATCGCTGAATGATGGCGGCTCTTGCAATGGTCCAGGAATATCAATCGGGTCAGGGGGCCTATGTAGGCGCATGTGCGCTTGCATAGCTAGAAATGACAAGTAAAATAATGCGAGTACTATAATCGCAGAGTCAATTTAAGTATAGGAACGAAAATTAGGGGATATTTTTAGCAGACATTTAAATCGAATCAGCATACGATATACTTATATAGTCTA